TTTCTTTCTCTTTGTGATTCAATACATATAAAAATCATTCTGCTTTCTCTTTAGATCGGGTGTTAGGAAAATTAGTCCATTTTTGAGTGTTGTGGGTCTTTGCAGCCTGTGAACAACATTGAAGTTTGCATTAGTAAAGCCAGTGTAATATTTTACAGGCAGAACCTCAGGCAGCATCATGCACAGCAACGGACTGTGATTTATCAAATAACATCTGTATGGATTGGTAAATCTATTTAGTGGTGCATGGGTGACAGTGTGCTTTTAATTTTGAAACCTGGAAAGGATGATTGATTTCTTATCAAATCCATATGCCACTTGTCTTTAAATGTTTTATCTGGTTTGAAGAAATTTCTTTACTACAAAAAGGGCCCAGATGAGATTTATGGGCATACTTCACATGAACTTGCAAAAGCTGTTTCCAAATGTGTAGAACAGCTGGAGTACAAAAATACCTGATAGCCGTTTCTTAAGCCCACTGGATCCGAGACCACATCTGGAAGGTACACAGAGAAACCATCCGAAGATATGCTGAAGGTTTCACCCATTCTGTGGCCTTGGAAATGTGTTTCAGGGGTGTGTTCCCTTTGATGAAATGTTGTTTCTGAGGGAAGTCTTTGATGAGCCTGTTTCCATTTGATCATCTGCTCTTTCACTTAGAAGGAGTGATATTGAGTTACTCTGTGTTTTAGATCTAATTGGCCAAAGCAGAAAAACAAACAAACAAATGAACACAAAACAATTAATGTGGCTAAAAGTAGCCACTTTAAAGTTTATCACCCAGAAGATTAAAGCCACATATTTTGAGTTTGAGGATACTGAACTGAAGGAGTGCTTCCAGCCTCTGTCCTAACCTTTAACCCCTTCTAAAGGAGTAGTTGTGAAAGTGAGTCAGATTGTCTGAGCAGTGCTTAGACGGTTGGAAAGATTTTATTGTTTCCTTTTCCTGAAAGACCATTTAAAAAGGGTCCAGGTATTAATCCCAACCATTGAAAATACACACAAATAACCAGATTATTATTATAGGTCAGGTGGGTAGCTGCGTCAGCATGGGTAGGCTGCAAAGGAACAAGTAATAGGTTTATTCCGTGCTGAAAAAAAGAAGAAAGAAAACACAACGTTTTGGCCGTACACCTGAAGAAGGCTCCACGGCCGAAACGTTGTGTTTTCTTTCTTCTTTTTTTCAGCATGGAATAAACCTATTACAGATTATTATTATTATCATCATCAAACACATCAATTTATTATGAAGACATGCATGGCTTTAATTTCTGGGATTCAGCTAATAAACAGCACTCTCTTAACATACAACGATCAACATTGCTCAGCATTGCTCCTTTGAATCTCAGGTTTTGTTTACATGAGCCTTTGATGAAGAGAGACCTGCTCCTCAAGTACTTGAAGCTGCTTGTAGCCCACAGACATAGAACAAGCTACTTCCACTTAGATTAAACTTCAGTGACCCAGGCCTCACTGGGACAAGTGGATTAAAAATGAATGGATAGCTGCTTTCTATTTAACACCTACGAGCTTTTGATAAAAATAATGATTGCATTTTTTTAAATATGCTTAAATGAATGAAATCCTTATCTGAAAAATGTTTGAAATTATTATGTGTTTTAGGGCTTATGTGCCACATCTGAAGCCAGCCCCTAATAGGGGGGTTTAGATAGGGATGTTTGTGCTCTTACTAGGGACCTTCCTGTCAGATTTTGTTTTTAGAAGATACAATCTGTGGACTTTCAACAGGCGCCTCAACTCCAAAAGTCACAGTATTCAAAAATAGCAAATGGGATTTCATGCGCTTTTTGATCCTTTCCGTTTTTTAATCATGTACCGTTGTTTTGGAGCTGCAGCAAAATGATGAAAGCCATCACAAACAATGCATGGGAATTTGTGACATCCACAGTAAGCGATGACACATATGTCAAGTAAATTACTCGATATCTTCAAGTATGTGAATGTCAGGGGAGATCAGACTTAAACCAGTGAAGATAAAGTTTTTAAAATGTCATTTAAATGAAAATTTAGTTAATTCTGCTTTGGTGAAATCAAAACTTTGGTGATAGATCAGGGGTCGTTTATTACTTCTTTATAATATCAGGGTTCAAATCCTCTACTATGAGCAAAAAAACATTGCAAACAAGAATTGCTGGTTTAGCATGACTAGTTGTTAGGAGGGCTTTGTTGATTAGCTCTTGATGGATCTCTGGTATGTAAGCAAAAATTGCCTCTTTATTTCAGTATTCAGCACACGTTCCTCACCCTCTTATGTTCGTTCTTAGTTTTTTTTTATTTAGCCCTAGTGAATCATTTTTTCAGGTAATAAATAAATCTGAAAATAGGGGTTTGTGTGAAATACCCTCCCTCTGTCGCCAGGTTTTTTGGTTTTGTTGCTTTTGTTATTTTATTTTTACAGCCACTGTACTAATCAGATGTGTAATTTTTCTGTCGCAGGTTCGAGCGCCGCTGCAGCAGGCCTCCAGCCTGGACAGTGCATTCTCAAGGTCAACGGCAGCAACGTCAACAACGACAGCTACCTGCAGGTTCTGGAGCACTTTTCAGCTCATCAGGCCAACCAGGAGCAGCAGGAGCTGGTGAGACTTTCGCATTCGCTTCCACCTGAGGCATTACAGTGACCTCACTGGCTCCTGGCTCCAGGGGGCTGGCCCTTTTTTGTACTGGAGAGCCTGCTGGCTCACCAGGCTAGAGCTCTTCCCATTGCCTGCAGTGTTCAGCAGACTGAGCCTTCTTCCAGAGTGGAACGCTGGTCCATTGTCATGCAGCTGTCCAATCATCCAGAGCAGTGGAGCAAAGTAACTTGTTCAAGTGATGCAATGCAGTGGTGTGGGACACAAGTCCAACAAATGAGCTGAGTGACCTCCTCTTGTTTGTAACCTTCCCTATGTTCCTAAGAGCCCTAAGAAGAAGAATCTAGAGCTCTGACCTCCGATACTACATGTTTCCCATATTGGGATGTGTGGATCAGGTAATTGAACTGAAATGGTGACAGTGACAGCATCAGTATCAACCCTTTGCACCAAATTCACACATCCGCTTCCTTTAGGATGCTCTTGCATCCTGTTGGGAATGGAGAGACAGTTATTTCAGAAACCCTGCTGCCTCTTGAAAGTCATTGTTTGTTTGGAGATGTGATCCACATTAAATAAAAATGCCCCGTATTTCTTATACATGTACAGTAACATCACCAAGATCCTTACGTCATCTGACAGAATTTGCTCGTTGAATTGCCCTGTTGGATTTAGAGTCTACCGTTATTCTTCTGTTTACATTGTAAGAGAAGTTGCCATATCTTGTCAGTACTAACTATGCCCTCTGTGAACTGTTGTCTCAGGGCCTGACTCAGTGGGTGTACAGAACATTTGAAGACGCAGAAGAAGAGAGATCCTTAAGACCAAACATATCTGAGACTGGAGCTGATATTGAGGGAGATGACAGCATGCAAGGGGCAGGTATGTAGCTGCACATGGCTCTTGTCAGTTAATGTATAAGATTAATGACAAGACTAATGATCTTCATCAGCCACCACTCCTTTAATGTGACCTGAGATCAAACTGGTGAGGAGCAGAGAGTTAAATTCAGTGATACATGGTAGAAGGTGAATAACATTACTACTGAGGACAATTGCCTTTTAAACAGCGAGCTTTTAAAAATCTTAAACATCCTCTGCAAACAACTTCACAGTTAAAGGGAAACAATTAATTGCTTTGACTAGAAGGGTAGTGAATGTGGCACAGAAATACCTTGTTGCAAACTAAATGTCTCTTGAGCAATATGGGTCATCGGCAAAGTCTTCCAGCAACAGTTTTGGTTGAGGGAATGATTGCAAAATTAAAGTGCAGTTAAAATTGATTCAGCAAGTGAGGATTGGAAGACCTCTGCTGGCTTTTCTTATTGTTGACTGAAATGTCTCCCAGAATTTCAGAGAGCTCATTCATCAGCCGTTTAAGGCTTCTTAAGCTATTAGCACCAGGACCACTGCTGGGAGGCTTTGAAAGGCTTAATGGAATGTGTATTCCCCAGAGCAGACGGGGGAGTGGAGGACATATGCAAAGACAAAACATTTCTGCAAGGGGGGAAAGCTGGACCTGTAAAACATGATCTCTTCACAGAACTGTTTTGTGCTCTAATGAGCTCTAAAGGACACATTGAAGTCAGTGTAACATGAAAAGAAGGGCTACATCCTTTTCAGAGCAGAGAAGTGAGGGATCAAAAGGCTGTTGGAAAGAGGGCAGCTGGGGGTCAGTCAACAGAGGTCAAATTTTCACAAAATTAGGAATTTTAAGAAAGGAGAAAATCTGTATTTTCTGTTTGTCCCGGAATATGGGTTTTTGGTCTGATCCCTGTATTGTAGAAGAGGTGGGAACATTAATGAATGGAAATTGTTCCCTTTTATTGCATTGCCATGAGAGTACAAATTGAATCAGACACTCGGGTGATTGACCGTCAGAGCTTCTGAAGTCAAATCACAAATTTAGATTATGTCTAAAATAAAACATCGAACAAAGACTTAACTGAACATTAATTCATCTAAAGTGCAATTCTGCAGTTCTTTACTTATATGTTACTAAATGTAAAAGCCAATGTTTTGCTTTTACTTAGCTATAAACTTGTGTACCACTATTCCGATGGATAGGCTATAGAACAAATTAAAACGTTTCATCGGCTGTTGAGCTTTTCTCAAGTGCACAACCTTCAGAATGAAATCACAAGGATGCAGCTTTATTTTCTACAAGCAGGCTAGAAGTTAGTGGTCAGAGGTACTGAATGGTCTTAGCCTGATCTGTTTTTAGCCATCGTCTAAGTGTTCCAGACAAGAAGGACTGTGAAATAGAAATCCAATGAGGAATCCCTCGATCTTTTGGGAGAATCCCCACCCACCCCAAAACTGAATTTCTTTCTTCTTTTAAAATCTGATAACATTATTATTTCTGCACCCCAACTCCAAATACCTTTCTTGCAAGTTATTCCTGGATGAGTGTGTCCTTTGTCAAACCCCCCACCCCCAAAAAAACATATTTATGGGATACAGTTAATCAGCTGGATGATCTGAAAAGCAAAATCGGTAAAGCCCTTTGTGTGCACAGAGCCATTGGCCATGAGTTCGTCTTGGGTGGAAGCTCAAGTGTGACTCACTCTCCACTGTTTTGCTTCATGAAGGAATTTTCAATCTGGAAAAAAGAATAGTCTCATTTAGATATCTGTTCTTCAGATCCCTTCCATAAGCTTCCTGGGTTTCAGCATTATGAGATATGTGTCAGAATAAATAAAGGTTTTTCAATCACCAGTAGATGTGCCCGCTCAGAGGGCAGATTGAATTGAATCAAGTGTTGAGCCTTCCGATTGGTTAACGAGAGGAACACGAATGAGGTGTGTTAGACTTCAAACCAGCGCACCAGGGAAACACAGAAGAAAGACCTGGAGCTTCCAGGAGGCTGTCTTGCTTTTGTTGAGGTTGGTGTTCTCTGCCTCCCCATCACCTGTCGGTTTGCTGCCCTGTTGTCCAGACCTGCTGAGGGGGTCGGGGAAGCTGGCCTCCGCGGGCGACGCCCCCCTCGTCAGCCTGACAGTGGACAATGTGCAGCTGGAGCACGGCGTGGTCTACGAGTACACCAGCACCGCCGGCATCAAGAGCCACATCCTGGAGAAGATGGTGGAGCCCAAGGGTTGCTTCTGTCTCACTGCCAAGGTAGAGCCAGCCTCTGGCAGTCCCCAGCTCAAACTGTTTCCATCACGTATTGAGTGGAATCATGGCCACACAGCTTGCCAGAGCAAAATAAAGCTATTAGTAACTTATCCTAACACATGTTTAGTTAAAATCCATGCATAAATGAATAGCCAGGAGACAACGAACAGAGAAAAGACTGAGCTGAACTGATTATGTATGTACAAGAAGGATATTGCCTTTCCAGGACACAGTGTTATCCAATGTTTTTTAGCTATTTGATATAATCTGCCAAGAGAGCAAACCTCAACAGCATCTAAGACTTTGACTTTGTTTCCTGTTGCTGTTGGAATCTAATTATTGAGAAAAAACCTGCCTAGGAAACGAAAAGATATACTGAAGGCAGAGGGCTGGAAATGTCTGCTAGTAGTATGAATGATTCTTGGGACTCCGTTCCTGATGCTTTCTAAAGCGTGTCTGTGGAAAGATGCTCACTGTTAGAAAGTTTGACAACAGTAGGGCATTAACTGACTGTGTCCCTTTGCAAACACTTGGAATCTTTTAGATTCTGGAGGCGTTTGCCAGCGACGACAGCACCTTCGTGAAGAACTGCAGCCGGCTGATCTCCCTGAGTGACAAGGTGGTGTCCATGCCCCAGTACGAGTTCAGGAGCATCTGCGACACCAAGCTGGAGAGCATCCGCCGCCGAATCCTCAGCTACCAGCAGGTAACCCAGCCTTGTTCAGATACACACGAGGACAGGGCCATAAAACAGGCTGCAGCTGCCAAACAGCGCCGCTACGAGTACAGTAGCTGCATGCGGAGCCACGTCTTCATTCTCTGAACCTTCCCTGGAACCTGAAGAGAGCAGATCTTTAGCCCATTCTTTTGAAGTGGAAAAATGAATTATGTCACCAGGCTATTTTCTAGACTCACGAACACTGTTTATTTGTACATTTAAGCAGCCAATTTATCCTACACATGCAAAGCAAGTTCTGTCATTGTTACTGGTCTGATGGAGTGGCCAGGGCTCTGGATTCATAGCTATGAGTTCAAATCCCAGGTGGGACACAGCTGTTGTGCCCTTGAGTGAGGTGCTCTGGTCAGCTTGTTTCATGGAAATGTTCAGCAGGTAGAAGTGTAGCTGGGTTTAGAGAGAAGTGTCAGCCAAACAAATGAATTAGAATGCAGCAGACAATTAAATTGAGAAACCCTCTAGCAGACAAGCAGTTTGATTTGAATCAAAGGTAGCACTGCCACATCCTTGTGTCCAACTTCTGTTTGGCAGAAATTTGGTTCTTTTTTTAGAATCATATTTTGCCATAACTTTTACAAAACAGAAAGTTTCTATGTGACTCGTTTTAAAGTGAGCCCTTTGCTTCCTAAAGCGCATTTTATTGGCATCTGTCAGCAGAAATATAATGAGTGCTTCTTTCTAATTAGCCACCAAATCCAAACTAAATTAAATGTCCAGTGTGTATTTAACAGGCATTATCAATTTATGATTTTATGTATAATGCTATCCCATTCTGTTCATGATATAGTTTCAACATTACAAACTATAACCAGTTACTGATCTGGAAAAAGAATGTGCTGGCTTTTGTAAAGCAGACTGTGCTAGCATATTCGAAAGGAGCTGCCTATGTTATTAAATCCTCATTCTTAAAAAACGCAAGTGGAAGCTTCACTTGTTGCCCTATTTGGTAAAAACACAGATATTCCCAGTTATCATATCAGATAGGTGTAGAGGTATTACAGTGAGTTATCACAAACATAAGGGCTTTTACTAAGTGGCTGAATGAAATAATTTACTAATGAATTAAATGACCTAACCAATAATAGGAATTGTTGCCTTAATACATGTGCATAAGCTTTAATTTGTTCATGAAGATCATCAGATTGTTTATAAGCAAGTCTGGGTCTTCACACAATTGGCTGTGTGGTGGCATCACCTATTGGATAAGTCTATGCAGGCAGGTTGCAGGTTCGAGTTCCTGCTACAGACACTGCTGTTGTACCTTGAGTGAGGGACTTTTCCCCAGTTGCTCCAGTCTGCCTAGCTGTATAAGTGGGGACCATTGCAGTACCCTGTCCCAAAGGGAGAGTCGCTTGGTCTCTAGTCTGAAACCAGGATGAGCCACTGTGGCTCTGGTATGGACTTCGGTCACTGGGCCTGTGCAATTTCACAAGTTGGCATGCATGCACTAGAGTATTATGATAACAGAAGGCCAACTCAGGGTTGGTGTCTTGACTTGTCTTTCTGAATACATCTCCGGTGTTTTCCCCCTTCTTGCTGCTCAGTTTGCCCAGGAACTGAAGAACAGAGCGTGGCCCATGTTCAAGCAAGCGACCAACACACCGCACCAGTTGGGGTGCATGGACTTCTGCCCGACCAACTGTCACATCAACCTGATGCAGGTCTCTTACCCCAAGAGCACCACCTCGGCAGGGAGGGCATTCAGCATCCGATTCGGGCGCAAGAATTCATTCTTTGGACTAGATCCGGATCAAGGTACAGTGAATTGCAGTGCTGCCCGCACGTTGCATAAATCTTCTGCTGGGCTGATTTTGAAGAAGGCCTGAAGACAGCTAGAAAACAAAACTTCCATTGTTTTTAGAACTTTAGTTCAAGAAATATTCAGTTCTTCCTAGAACAAATGTCTATATGTCCAATCTCTAAGATGGACTTAGATGAAACAATGTGAAGAGGAGCTGAGACTGAGACTCCAAATAGGGTCATTTCTAGACGTAGACTGTATAGAAGATGTACAGTGGTGCCTGTTAGCCTGCTTTTAGTACAAAAATGCACTGACTATGCAGAAAAGGCTTTAGGGTTTTCACTGGATTTATGGAATAAACACATAACTGACTTTAAAAGTCCATTTAGTTTTCATCATCCTATCATCACAGGGGTGCGACTGTGGTGACTGGATGTCATTACCATCCACTTCATTAAACAATTACAATATTCAGCTGTTTCTGCAGTAATTAACGCATTTTGTCTATACTTCAGATAAAGGGATAATTCTATCTAATTACTCCCAGCAAAGCGTGCGTGTGATTTAGAAGTAGTAAGCTAGCAATTAAATCTCATGACTTTGCTTTTCGTCTTTCTTTAAATTTTTTGATGTGGGAGACATCTGCAAAGTATAGTACACTGACCGGCACTATTTTTGTAACGAAACAAGTGGCTTGTGACTTACTGAATCATTGAAGCATCTAGTTCCCCATGTTGCAGGGCTGAAATTAACTTGTGAGGAGTAGCAGAGACAGGTATGTCATGTTCAAATGGCTTCAGAGGAAAACAAGATCCTTTTCACTGTTGAGATGGTTTGTTGTTTGCCAATGTACAGACTGCAACAGAAACACACAGTGCTTAAAATTCACAGCAGGGCTTTTCTTGCTGTTTTGGAGAAAAGTCTGCTTTGGCAAAAAGCACGTTTTCTGTAGTTCTCATACAGCCGTGCTGATCTTATCGCTTATCAGGAATATTTTTAGTGTGGGTGATATGTGGTGGGAGAAAGCAAAAGACTACATTAAAATCCCCACAAAAAAAAAAAGATTTCTCAACAGCTCTCAGTTGTGTTTATCTAGTGGATAAAGCACCTTGTTGTGCCTGTCTCAAGCTTTTCAATGCAATATTAAAGTTATAGAATTTCGTTCTGCATTGCAATATATTTTTCAAAGGAAAAAAAAAAGACAAATGTAGTATTTAATTCACCAGTCTTAAAACTCTCAAAAAGGGGTGTAAATCCCCTCTCGGCAGGTGCTGAAGAATTTCACCTGGCCTTTGTGTTTTTATGAATGGGGAACAACCTGGGGTCGTGTTACTGGAGGAGTGCTCTGTCTCCTCCGCTGTGGAGAAGGAGAGAAGAAAAAGACCACAAACTGGATTTCTTATGGTTACAAAAGAAAGGCCATTTATTTAAACATCTGGTTGGCAGCTTTGTCCAGTGAAAATGTTTAGCATGTTTTAGGTGTGCTGTCTGTTTATATGGTGGTGTACTTAGCCCCATATGCTTCTTAATCAGGCCTTATTTTACAGCTGTCTCAGAACACATTAAAAGGCTTGAGCTGCAAAATGATTCTTAAATACACTATGGTGCATTTGAGGAATTGTATACAGATTTAATTTTTCGTGGTCTTATAGACTGTATCGACAGCTGTTGAGGGAAAAGGGAGAACTTTCATCTTTTGGTTTCTTTTCCTTGTGGTACAGTACATAAAGCTACTAACTGTAGTACTCCTGATAGGGAAGGAAGATCACTGTTGTGAGTTCTGCTTTGTGCTTAACGGTACCAGAATATGTGGTGCTTTGGTGAAGTCTTTTTATTCTCTGCTGAGTTCGGTGAAATTCATCCTAGGCTTGGCCTCCATGAGAGTTATATGGCCTCCAGGGCTCGAGGCGTTTAAAATAACTTAAAATAATACTTTGGCCAGCATCAACAACTCATGAGGTTACTGCATGTTTTCTGGACAGCAACTAGAGCTAGACAGCTTGGTGAGGACGCTGTGATAGGTGGCGAGCTGTGAGGCAGCCTTTATTCCCACCCGTCTGACCGGCACATAGCAGACATGACTGGAAAAACTCAGTCATGGAGTCTGCAGAAGCTCACTGGTGTGTCCCACGTAAAAAAGCATTAGCTTTCACCAAGGAACTTTCCCCATTCAGACCTGCTGCTGTAGGTAATCGATAGTTGCTGTCTGTGTGGGAGCTGCCCAGTCTGTAGGTAATCGATAGTTGCTGTCTGTGTGGGAGCTGCCAAGTCTGTAGGTAATCGATAGTTGCTGTCTGTGTGGGAGCTGCCCAGTCTGTTCTGCTGATGGAGCGGTGAGATCAGGCCTCGTCTCTTTCGGTGTTTCAGCGAACCTCAATCCCATGTCTCACACGCAACACTGCGTCACTACCATGGCTGCCCCCTCCTGGAACTGCCAGAGCCTGGAGAACGGGGTCCCCGACGGCTCCACGGAGGTGGATGGCAGCCTGCTGGACACCAGCCTGGACAGCTCGTCCAGTCAGGAGGAGGGCGGCCTGAGCTTCCTCCTCAAACAGGAAGACATGGAAATCCAGGACGCCTACATCCAGCTCTTCAACCGGATGGACATTGCCGTGAAGGAAATGAAACAATACGTGGCTCAGATCGATGTGTAGGTATTTCCAGCTGCGTGAGGGCGGGGGAGAGCTGGGCTATAAGTCGGCAGGGAGAGGAGTAAGACTCATTACAGTTATTTGAACCGCTCACTGTTTTATGAGCTGCTTAAGAGCTTGAGCTGAAGAAAAGCTCTTACCGTAATGATAATCCCCTCCTCAGTCTAAACTGCCAAACGTTGTAATTGCTGCACCCTGAAGGTATTTTCAGCGGCGGGTTGTGGAGACGGTAGTTGTTTTTCTCTTCAGTCAATTCGCAGGAGCGCATTTGAAGGATGTGTTTTATAACCGTAAAACCGGATCACTCCAGTAACTGTCTGTTCAGGTCTGTCAGCCTCCCATGGGACCTCTGTGTTTGACAATTTGGTTTTCTCCCAGCCTCCTGTCTTCTATAACTGAGCCCACGCAGCCTGAAGGATGCGGTCCCCCAGCTTCAGAGGAAACCCCCCCGACATCCCTGGAGCCCGAAGAGGGGGACCTGGACAAGACCGAGCATGGGGGCATCAAGAGGGTCTGCTTCAAAGTGTCAGAAGATGACCAGGAAGACTCAGGACATGACACCATGAGTTACAGGGACTCCTACAGGTGAGGCGCTGGCATGGGTCAGAGCAGAGCAAGTGATAATGGTGACCAGCCTGGAAGCTGTCATGAAGTCTAGGCTTTAGCTTCATTGAAGGGAGTGGTGATACTATCATGAAACAATGTAGAGAACACGAGAAAAGTCACAAACATGAGACAGCCATTCCGCCTGTGCTGCTCACGTGGTGATTAGTAGTTTATCGATTCACAGGCTTCATCTCAGACATTTCAGAGAATCGGCTTCAAAAGCATGGCTGGACATTTGCTCCACACCCTGCAACTCTTTGTGTAACGAAGTATTGAGTGTCTTTTAAATTTGCACACTCTCAGTTTGTTTTCGTCATTGTGGATCCTTGTTATGTGAAGGATGTAAAGTAAGAAAAGACTGTCTTCTTCTTTAACTAGACTCCTACAGTTACGGTAGACATTTGTCCCCCCTCCCACAATATGCTATATATGAGTAACAGACACCACCAGCATTATCACCATAATAAGATAGTTCAACACCCAAGGGTGTTTTTGCAAAACTTGCTGTGGAACTCAGAGGAGGTGTTTCAGCTGAGTGCGCAAAAGTTAGATTCAAGGATTTTTTTCTTCTGCCTTGATTACTACAGTTAAACACCAGCTTCTCAAAACCACAAAACATTCCTTTCTACAGTGCCAGATCTCTGCCGTTGTCTAATTTTGGTCCACCTGTGTCAAGGGTTCGTGCATTGCAATTCGAATTCGGTTTTATATTCAACTTTTTGTTATAAAATGTGATCTGGTTAATTGTAAGGGTTTTACATTGCCATTGTTTTAAGAAAACCATGACGGCATGCTTTTAGGTACATGTATGCAGTGAACAGTGAATTTCTTGGTAAGCGTAATGATTTAAAAGTGCAATTTGTCAGAAGACACATGAGACTGGTGATGGACAATCTCTCCTCACTGCTGCCAAACTTGACTGGGGGGGTCAGGGGTTCGTATGTGTCATCTATAATGATAGGAAAAATTGTTTAATACTATTGTTACACCATTCTGTTTGCCGCTTTTAATCGTAATTGTGAAAAATATAGTAAACGTAAGACTTATGGTACATAGACTTATTAATAAATACCATTTGCATGCATCATTGCTTGTAGGACATAGAAATGTCACATACTGAGTAACTATCCCTCTAATTTCAACTGTTGTGTATTGGACAATGGGCTGAGAGTCTGTCTTTCAGGGGAATTCATGCTAACCTCAGCGCTAGGGTTTATCCTCACTGATCTGTGGGCTTTGTGGCTGTTGGAATTGTCTCTAGACCCAGCCAACAGTGGGTTCCATTTTTGACTGGGGTATAACCAAGTTTGGAATCCGCTCTTGGAAAAGAAGACACAAATCCAATCTCTCCTGGGGTTAAGTACATCTTACACGAGGCGATAAAGGCCCGTTTTCACATTGAATATTTAAGTATTTCCTATTCTGCAGCTCTTCCTTAATTTTCAATGGAGCAGCCGGCATTGAGAAATGAATGGTGATATTGCACTGAGTGATTACATTTCCCATATTTGGCTATCGTATCATATGGATCCAGAGAGCTGCTTATTAAATTCCATGCCTTTGTGTGTTAGTACATTACACTAAGAAACACTCTTGCAGTGAAGAGAGTTATTGTTGAGTCTTCTTGTTAAGCTAAGAACTAGAACCGCAGCACATACTGTATGTATTTATTACACCCTGTTTCCCTGTTGCAGTGTACTCAATGAAATAGTATTAGTGATGATAACTTATTTTATAAAGTACAGATTTTTGACAATCAGTTAACCTACCTGCTGCTGGTGGTGTAGTAGAAACACGGAACAGATAGTTTTCACTGGAGAATCCCAGACCGCAGGTGACCCCTGTTTCGTGAACAGCTGGGTTTGCCTTCCCGTTGAACTACATATTGTGTACATATGCAGGCATGCATGCTATGTAAGAATGCCAACCATTTTCTCTGCAGAAGGGAGTGAAATCATAAACTGCAGCCATTTCAGAGGAGAAGGTTTAAGTGGAAGTGTAATTCACAGGAATTCCATAGTTAGGTCTTGCAACTAAAAAAGGATTAAAAGTCCACCTAAGGTTGAAGTGACAGAGCACGGTTTTCCCAAGCAGAGCATTTTGCTCCTGTGACAGGATCGTCTTTGTGGGCATGTGGCTGAGTGGCCTGTTCTTTCTCCCTGTCTTCTCCTTTTTTCTTCTCCAAATGTGCACATTAAGCGCGTGGCCTGTAACAGTGTGGGTAGTGTTTGTGTTCGTATCCCTGGGGTAAAATTCCTGTGGCCCAGCTTTTAACGCATGACATGTCAATGTGGTTTGAATCTGTGCCCTAGGTTGGCCTCCCTACAGTTAGACAGCCCCTGGAGGTGCATCCCAGGCTGTGAACCAGCCTGACACACCAGAAGACACTGCAGGGGTCATTACACTGTAATTGAAGTTAATGTACCGGTTGGTAGTATAATCACTGTCCTGTCTCAAAAAATCATTTCAGAAATGACCCATTACATTTTAGAGAATCCATTTCTTGGTTTATTGCAAATTTTGTTATATCCTTGCACACGCTGTGTACAGGTAGTTTCCTAAAAAATCAGAACAGAAGAATTTCTCTTTTAGGAGACATTAGTCCCTGCTTGCTAGTCTTTGCTAGAGAGTTTGGGATACCCTATATACATTTGAACTTGCTGAAAGCAGGTTAAGGTTTTCAAAATATCTAAGAGTGTTCTCAAACCGAAATGGTTTGTGAAGTGAATGGTGGGACAGAGTACATTGTGTTCAATTGGTAGCCAGTTCAGCTGTAACCACTCTAGAAACACATGTAACTGCTCCCTAATAGTAAAACTGGGAAGAAAATAAATTTTGTTTAGCCTATAATTTACTCAGCTACTGCTGCGGTCCAGGGACCCAGACATCATCATAAAACGTCTGTCATCTATCCAGAAAATGCTGGGGGCAATACATGCGCTATATAAAACTCTGGTTACTGTTTGACAGGAACAGGCGATTAAAGTACTGTAAAGACCACTTTCTTGTGCCACAGGATTGTGCTCTGTCATCTCAAGATATAGCACAAAATATATTTATTTTTAAGTGATTTGGGTCACTTATTATTGACAATCATATAATGATACCCTAAAAAAAAGTGTATTTTGTGAAATTTTAGGACTGCTTTTGGGCATGTCTTAAGTAAAGCTCCTCTCAAACAACCTACTGACCGTGCTGGTGTGGCTAATTGCTCAGCCCAGTGCAATTTAAGGTTTATGGCCAACACAAAATAATGAGAATGAGATGTTAAGCAAAGGGAGGTTCTGTAAACTGTAACACATTGTATACAGAGCCAAGAATAGTACTGGGAAAGTCTTTGGCCTCTGTGGGTGGCTACATAGAAGACAAAGACATTTATATTGTTCCACCCAGCAATGCCCATTACACTTTATTTTTTTTTTAGATTTGTCTTGCTTTTTATGAACAGTTGTTTTTCTTTCAGAGTTTATTCTTGGCAAAATTACATGCTGCAGTTTATGTAATCTGTTTTGATTAGACTGTCAAGGCAGGCTATGTTTCTAGAATGATTCCAGGATTTGGGAATTGTTTTTCCTAAATACAGTGGCGTGACGGAGGCAAACAATGGAAAATTCACTGTTGCTTCGTTGGTAGCTTCAGAGATATGTTAGACATTTATGTTCGGAACTCAGCTTACCTCATTTAATACCCTTCTGAAAAAACGACATTATCAATAATTATCTTTGTCTTCGTAAATGAAGTCAGAGACAAACATTTGTGTGTGTGTGTAAAATGTTTGATTGTTCAAGGAACGTTAACTTCTCAATGAGATTTTGATTTCAGCAGTGTGTGCACTGACTCTGACGCACACATACCCTGGGGTTGTGCGTAGATTATTGCTGGACTCACTTTTGTATTGTAGAATGTGAAGGCATTGCACTGCACAAAACAGGCCCAGCAGTGCTGCTGACATTTCGTATTTTCTGAAAGCACATTTCTCTAAACTCACTGAAGATTGATTGAAAAGCTCACCTTTGATATGGATTTTCCTTTGGTTGGAATTAAGAAGTGGGGCTGCAGACTACTCCCAGTGTGGGAGAGCAGGGCTGAGCTGGGTCACCCGAGACACGTCTTTAGACTCCTGTCTGTGTGTGTTTCAGCGAGTGCAACAGTAACCGGGACTCCGTTCTTTCATACACAAGCGTCCGGAGTAACAGCTCCTACCTGGGCAGCGATGAGATGGGATCAGGTAAGGATTCGAAATCCACAGGCGGGACGGTTGCCTTTGCATGGGCTGTGACTGTTTTCCCTTGCATGAGTGACTGCAAGGCTGTGCTTGGCGAAGCTTTCTGGTGTTTTCTTCTTGAAACGCATCGCCGTCTCCATCCTAGAGGGAACTGCACGCCGCCATCTATCGTGGTTCTCCAGGTGATGGACAGGACAAAAAGCACCATGTCAGCTTCCAGACCTTTCAGTTTGGAGGGGCTACATAGAGGGCTAGAGACGTCAAGATGAGTGGTTAATACACACTCCCAGCATGCGTTTTCAAGACGTTTTCCTGGGAGGCAGTTTTGACTAGCATTTAGGCTGCTGCTCTCATGACTGCTAGGTCATAATAATAATAATAATTATAATAATTGCTTACACTTATATAGCGCTTTTCTGGACACTCCACTCAAAG